CTGCTGCTGTTCAGATTGTGATCCCGAGGGGCCCCTACCAGGCCAAGGGGCTGCTGCTGAGCTGCATCCGAGACGAAAACCCCTGCCTTTTCTTCGAACCCAAGGCGCTTTACAGAGTTGCCACTGACGAAGTTCCCACCGGGGATTATATGCTGGATTTGAGCAAGGCGGACGTGGTCAAGGAGGGAGAGCACGTGGGACTTCGCGCCACTAGCAGCCCGTTTTTTCGCCTTTTGTTTCGTCTTTTCTTCCTATTTTATCTTTATTTTCAACTCTTTTCCCATAAGACTTGTGTTACACTTCTATTTTTTTCTTTTCCTGCTTCGTGAAGTTCGGTTTTTAAGAGTACCTTCCTGCCGGTGCTGTTTTCGCGCGAAGTGCTTGTGCTTGAACTTATAAAGGCCGATGCATATGGATACGCCTTTTGTGTCTTACTCTCAACTAGGTGCAGTAGTTTATTTTTGTCAGCTTTCATATTCTTACCTGTGTTTATAAATCTATAGCTTCATGGCTTTACCGAAATGCGTACATGCATATCTGTACCTAGACCTGTGGCAACAGCTGCATGGACATCCGTATCTGTATTCATGTGCATAGCTGTATATTTATTTATTTAGTCGTACTGGCATTTATATGTGTATATGTATCTTTGTCGATATCTGTATTTGTAAATCCGTCTAGATGTCTATTTCTGCGTCTGTCGCAACATGTAGCCACATTTGCACTTGCATGTTGTCCATTATATATTATTCTTGCCTGTATCTGTTTCAGTCTATATCTACATACGTAAACCTGCATATTTGTGTCTAGATCTATACTTGTACACTTGTGTCGGTAGCCATCTATCTCAATTCGAAGATATCTATATCTACTTGTTCATATCTGTGTATCAGTATCTACATGTGCATATCTGTTCCTGCATATTCATATATCCCATATCCACATCCATATATTTATATCTACATTCGTATCTTTGTGTCTCATGCCTGTCAACACATTTCCCATCCCATTTCCAGTCCCAGTCCCGCCTCCACGTCCATTTGCACTCCCAATCCCACTTCCAACTCCGACTCCATTCCCACTTCAGTTCCCATTCAGTCGCACATCAATTTGAAGTTGAATTTCAATTTGAATTCAACTTGAAGTGCTGCTGGGGCTGTGTGGCGGCAGGTGACTGCCGTGGCGTGGGGCACCCAAGTGCACCGGGTGCTGCGCGCGGCGGAGTTGGTGGCCGCAGAAGGCGTGAGTGTGGAAGTGATAGACTTGCAGACAATCGCGCCTTGGGACGTGGACACAGTGGCGGCTTCGGTGCGCAAGACGGGGCGGCTGCTGGTGTCTCACGAGGCGCAGCAAACCATGGGCTTTGCTGCTGAAGTCGCAGCAGCAATTCAGGAAAAGTGCTTCTTCAGCCTCGAGGCTCCCATCAAAAGAGTCACTGGATACGACACGCCCTTCCCCCTCGCTTACGAGCCCGTGGGTCCTGCTGCTGCTGCTGCTGCTGCTGCTGCTGCGTGCCGCTGCTGCTCGTCCGGCAGCATGCCGTTGCTCCTGCTGCTGCAGCATGCTGCTGCTGCTGCTGCTGCAACAGCATGCAGCTAATCGAAGTTGGCGAATAAAGGAGATGTAGTGCTTATGCAGAGCCGGCCACTTGCGCGGGAAATGCAGGTTTTTTTGACGCATGTTTCTTCTAGTGTACATACACTTGGCGCAGCATTCAGTGCATTTGCTTTTATTGCCGAAGTGAAGGAAATCTTCTAGTTGTCGGCCGGTCCTGCAGCGGCAGACGCAGCCGATGAGCCTGGTTCTAGCTGCTGCTGCTGCTGCTGCTGCTGCTGCTATTTCGTTTTGTTTGCAGTTCTACCTTCCCAACGAGTGGAAGCTGGCCGACGCGATGAGGGAGCTGAAGGCCCACTAAGTTTTTGAAAAGTTGAAAATGCGAAATCCAAAAAGTGAATAACTAGGGCTACAAATGCATGCAAAGGGCCGGAGTGCTGCTGCTGCAGGGGGCGCGGCGTGCATGCCTTTAGCCGCTGCAGTCAGAGACTGAGCTGCTGCTGCAGCACGCGAGGCCAGTGCAGCAGCAGCACGACTTGCTGCTGCTGCTGCTGCTGCTGCTGCAGTCGTGCAGGCAGAGGGCCACGCGGAAACTAGATGCAGGGGCTCGGGTTTGGTTAAGGGAGGGCTAAAGTGCTGTTTGCTTTGGTCTCGGTCATTATGCTGTTGTTATTAATAAATGAATTGTTGGCGCCGCAGCAGCGGCTCCAGCTGCGTCTGCCGGGACGGGTGTACGTACACTGGAGTGTACGTACACTTGAACAATTAGTGACCCTTCTAACTCAACAGTTCATTTAGATAAACCAAACAAAGGCGAGCGACGCGGCAGCCCTACGTTGGTAGACCAGTGGTCACTTTAGCTAAGTACGCTTGCTAGCCACGCAGCAAGAACTTGCAGCAGCCGTTTGCTGCTTCTTAAGTACAACTATTGCGAGTAACGGACAGCCCGCAGCAGCAGCAGCTGCTGCTGCTGCTTCTGCTGCTGCAGCGTACAGAGGCCAGCGCAGGCAGTGTTACAGCGCTACAGGGACTATTTGCAGAGATTCACTCGGAGCCGGCGAGATTTTGGTTTCTTCTGCTGCTGGCCCTCGTCTGGCTGGCTGGCTCTCCTCTGGGGCCGAAACTGGCCCCTCGGCACCAGACTCTGCAATAGTTTGACGGCGGAACACTTTTGCCAAGTTCACTAAAGCCGAAATTGAATAAAACATGGGGCAGCTGCCTCCTTGCCGGTGTTCAGACCACTCACACACTGGGCCGGAAGGTGAGTGTGGGGAAGCGCAGGGGCCCCCGGCAGCCCAGTGTGTGCGAAAATTAGGGGTGACAAGAAAGGCAAAATGAGGTTGAATTCCATTAGAATAAAAGTGGAAGCTTGAGAGGAAGTAGGAGGATCGCAGAGCGGAGGTTGGGGTGTACATGCAGCTCTGCTGGTGTCAACATCACGCAGCCTCACGTCAAGCCACTGGTGAGCTCACCGGTTGTTGGGGTCAAAAGTTATCAGTTGGTCATTTATTGTTACTTTTTGGAGTTGGTTTTTTATGCGATTCGTCGCAAAAAACACTTAAGACGACACTGCAGCTGCTCTTTTGTCGGCTCCGGGGCCGTCGTTGCTGCATGTCCATTCGCGGGTTTCGGCGCCGAATAAAGCCGTAGCTGCGCATTTCTTTGCCTTTGGAAATCCTAATTGACGCTATCTTTCTCCATTTCTGCGGGTTTTCCCCCTGCCTGGCTGCGCAGGACTCCTAGCCGAGCCAGCTTCTCATCGACCAGTTCACCTGGCAAGGAATCATCCTTTGTCTTCAGATCGGATCTGCAGCTGCAACTCGCAGCAGTTGAAACGAAATTGGCGAGCTCTTTGTGTCAGTGGTAGCAGCAGGGGCTCAGCAGCAGTCTGGAAGCGGGATCTTTCGCGCCGCAGCAACTGCTCCTGCAGCAGCAACACCTGCTGCTGCTGCAGCTCCTGCCCCCTGCTCTTGCCCGCGCCTCGGGAGGCGCCTCTAGGCCAGGCCCTGCTCTTTGCCAGCAGCAGAGTCCCAGCTGTGTGCCCTTGGCGGCGGGCGGTGTGAGTTAGCCGTGGCTTCTTCGCCGCTGCAGCTGCTGCAGTTGCTGCTGCTGCTGCTTGACCAGTGGTCCCCGTAGCCGGCCCGCCCGCCCGCCGGCCAGCGCGCGGCCTGCCTCCGAGGGCGCAGCAGCAGCAGCAGCAGCAGCAGCAGCAGCAGCAGCGGGCGCAGGAGGAGGGGCCCCCGGGGGCCCCCTGGCTGTTCGGTCTCCGCGCGGCGCCCGCAGCGCCATGCAGCAGAGCCCTGGGGCGTCGCCTGGGAAGCCGAGTCGGGAGGGTCTTGCTGCTGCTGCTGAAGTTGCTGCTTCGGTGTCGGACCGCGTGGCTGCTGCTGCGACTGCTGCTGCAGCAGCAGCAGCAGTGGCTGCTGCAGCGCGCGCAGAGGCCACTGCAGCCCTCGCCCGCCGCCACCTACAGCCCTGGGTCCTCGTCGAAGAGTACAGCAAATGGAGACACGAAGACCAGCAAGAGTTGAGGGTTTGGGAGCCCCGGGGGTCTCGTATATTTCGGGAGCACTTGCTGCCTTATGTGCCTCCAGATGTGTCTCCTGCTGTGGCTGCTGCGCAAGCAGCAGCAGCAGCGGAGGCCGCGGCCAGCAGCAGCAGCAGCAGCAGCAGCAGCAGCAGCACGCCGGGCAGCAGCAACCGCTTCGCAGCCTTCTTCGGGGGCAGCGCTGCTGCTGCTGCTCTCGCCCACCACCCCTGGGCTGCTGCGCAAGTCAAAGAGCTGCTGCGGGAAGAGATTTGGGGCGGAGTCCCCGACGCCTACAAGAGCTGCGTGTGGCTGCACTCCAACGGCTCGCTGCAGCAGCAGCTGCTGCAGCCGGGGCTCTACAGCCAGCTGCAGCAGCAGGCCTTCGGGGGGCCCCCCTTTCCGGGCACAGACCCTGGCCGCTGCCCCACCTTCAGTGGGGGCCTCCTGGGTCTTGAAGAAGACGTTTGTGGAGTTCAAACAACTCTAAACCAGCTGGAGCTTGACGGGGACGCCCCGCTGGCCACTTGGCGCTCCGCGCCCGAAGAGGGGCCCCCCGAGGGGCCCCCGGGGGGCCCCCGGGGGCCCCGGGGGCCCCGCGGGCCCCGCGGGGCCCACAACTGGACCCACAAAATCCGACTCCCCCACCCCTACTTGCCAGGGGTCTCCCCCGGCAGCAGAAAGCTGGGGGCCCTCAGCAGCAGCAGCAGCCGCAGCCCCGGCAGAAACCCTTTGGGGCAGCGCCTCAAGCCTGAGTTCAACTTCTGGCCCGACACCAGCCACAGGGCCAGCGACACAGAAGCAGCAAACCAGCAGCAGCAGCAGCAGCAGCA